TGCAGAGAAAATAGAAAATGTACCGAAGAGGATTAGAAAAAAATGTAAGGGAAATGGTTAGCCAAAAGGGGTGGGCCATGAGAATGTTGGAAGGGTTGACAATGATCAAGATGTATCCATAAACTGCTTTGTTAAATGGTAAGTCCTTTGTACAACTATTTAAACATAATCAGAAAGAAAGAGAGAGAGAGAGAAAGAAAGAAAGAAAGAAAGAAAGAAAGAAAGAAAGAAAGAAAGAAAGAAAGAAAGAAAGAAAGAAAGAAAGAAAGAAAAGGAAAGGAAGGAAGGAAGGAAGGAAGGCAGGAAGGCAGAAAGGAAGGCAGGCAGGAAGGAAGGAAGGAAGGAAGAAAGGAAGGAAGGAAGAAAAGAAGGAAGGAAGGAAGAGGACTTTGAGACAGAGGGCTAACTGTGAGGAGTAAGATTTTTCCCAGGGAAAAACATTTTTGCAGCATTTCTGAGAACAGGAAAAATGGTCCTTATGGTTAGGACCAGGTCCACAACAGCACATAAGCAACCATGGCTTTAAAAGATGTGGGGGAGAACTTAGCTTGAATTCTTTGTCTGGCAGAAAGCCCCTGCAGGGAGAAAGGCAATTTGTGTTTTTAAATGATCACTTTGTCAACTAAATGGGTAGCAGACTAGAAAGAATGAAAGAGAAATACAAATCCTGTACTTCTGAAAGAGGAGATAAAATCTATACTCTCCAAGAAACTCCTATACTATCTTTGACTACAGTATCAGAATAGGAGTGGCTATTTATGAGAACACATGACAGATAGGGTAGACCATGTATGAGCACTTCACAGAAGTCATTCTAGCAAATACATGTCAAGACGCGCACGCGTGCGCGCGCGCGCGCGGGCACACACACACACACACACGTGCGCGCTTGGCTCCATGTCAAAGGCATCATTCTCAGAGACAAGCTAATAAACGTTTCCAGGTCTTATCAGTAGCAAATGGCAAATCTGTGTTTGAATCAAGTTTTATCTGCCTCCAAACTTTCAAGTGCATTTTCTGAAGCTGCTATGTTAAACTGTAATCTCCACCGAATATATGGAACATAGGATTATGACTAAAACATCAAGCTTTCAAAGACACTTATTTGGAGAAGCTCATTTGATCTTAAACACCTATTATAGGTATTGAGTAAAAGGTGCAGTTCCCAAGTTGGAGATTAAATACTTAATCTCTAGTCATATGGCCAGATAAAGATTTTTTATTTTATTGTCCCAGGTATGAAGAATCTCCACTAAGGAACTGGTAGCAAATCAATACACCTGTGGGCTGGGAAGGGGGAGATAATAACAAATGATCAAATTCCTAACGTTAAGCCATACTGCAAAGTATGATTGGGATGAGGAAAACTCAAAAGGGTCTCCTGAGGTTCTTCTAGAAGCCAAGCCAAATTAAAATTCTCTCAGTTCATTTAGTTAAACAAGGTGAGAAGAGGTAACAGTTCACATCAAACAGATGTGACTGCAATACACACTCCTTCATCAAACATAGATGTTGTACTTGTACTTTGTATACAAAGACTCATCTACAAATGTCTGTTATTCTTTTGGCTGAGTAACTGTGAATTTCCTGCTAGCTACTTTCTGATATAGATAGATAGATAGATAGATAGATAGATAGATAGATAGATAGATAGATAGATAGATAGATAGATAGATAGATAGATAGTTTTTTGGTTGGTTGTGAACTCTGGGCCAGGGCACTGTCCCTCAGCTCTTCAGCTCCAGGCTAATGCTTTACCATTTGAGCCACAGCACCACTTCCAGTTTTTCTGAGTGGTTTATTGGAGATAAGAGTCCCACAGACTTTCCTGCCTGGGCTGGATTTGAACCGTGATCCTCAGATCTCACCCTCTTGAGTAGCTAGGATTACAGGTGTGAGCCACTGGCGTCCAGCTCTGATATTTTTAAACTGTCATTTTTTTAATGGCTAAGTGTGAAGTTTCCCCCACAGGCTCATTCATTGAAGGCTTGGTCTCCAGCCAGTAGTACTATTTTGGAAGGTACTGAAAACTCTAGAAGGTAGAGCCTCCCTGGAAGAAATAGACCACTATGAGCAAATCCTTGGGGACTCTTGCCTCTGGCCTCTTTTTATGTCCCTCTCTGTTTCCTGTCCACCATAAGGTAAAGAATCCCCTCTATCATCCTCTTCTGCCACCATGATATTGGTCCAAGCACATAGTGCTAAGAAACCATGGACCAAACCCTCTGAAAGCATGAGCCACTGTCACAACAATGAGAGAAGTAATTCATACACTGTTCCTTTTTATCCACATGTTTTTTGAGCCATCCAAATATTTAAGCTCCCATATTTTAGGATACATTCCTTGTATTCTATTCTATTTCAACTAGCCTATATTACAGTGTATGATAGACACAAATATTAAAAGCAATCATAATTTAAAATGAAAATCATTCAAGTCTGTTGTTAAAACCTATTATATGATTGATGAATATCTGAGGTCTCAAAGGAATCAGGTTATAAACTACAATCCATTATAATACACTTAAATTAAAATTTTAAGTTATTAAGTAGTTATTTTCTGTAGGGTAGACTACAATTTTCCATAATTCCGGTAGTAGAAGAAACTATTATAATAGGAAGGTACAGTACAGTAAAATATAAGAAAGATATGTTTGACCTTATAATTATTTTCCACAATACATTATACTGTCTTGAACCTATTTTGCTTATTAAATTAGGCTGCAGATCCCATGTGCAAACCAAACAATAGCGCTGGTCTGAAAGTACAATTACAAAACTAAAAATAATAATAATAATGTAACAATAAAAATTGGGTAAGTTCCCAAAGGATACTTGAAAACTGATGATATTATTTATTGTAATAGAAAATGGAAGTCATCTTCATATTAGCATATTTATCAAGGAATGAACCAGATCAAGGAAAAGCAAATTTGCCTAAAAGTGCTCTAAAAATTATGAACAACTTAGCCAAAACTTTTCAACTGACAATTCAAGTAGAGATTTAATTCTAATTCAGGAGTTTGATCAAAGTGAACTTAGAGACTCCTGGACACTGAATAAATTCCCTTTTATCATCTTTTCATAAGTGCCCGTAAGCCCATAGAAAAATTAAGGCAGTAAGATAAAAGGGAAATTATTCCAAACTAAGCAGAATGGAATGAAACTCCAACTCCAGAAGCCTTTGGTAGGCTATCTTATTTTCTTTTGGTCCATACAATAGTCTACACTTTTGGCAATTCTTCTATACTGAACATATGCTAGCAACTTATCTTTGTACTCCTCAACTCATGAATACCACTTGTTCTTCTCAATTCAATTTTATAATAATTCCTGACATTTATTGAGCTCTGTAAGAGCCAAGCACTACTCCAAGGCCTTTATACTATTAAATCCTCACATTAATTCTGCAAAATATAATTGCTATTTCCACTTTGTGGAGGAGGATGAGACACATAGCTTTCTTCATCTGCTTTCTCAGCCACTGGGGAGTCTACATGTGGCCCCTGCAAAATGATGTGTCCGTATTTAACCTCTGGATCCTGTGAGTATGTTCATTTGGAAAAAGGGTTTTTGTAAGGCCAGGCACCAGTGGCTCACGCCTCTAATCCTAGCTACTCAGGAGACTGAGATCTGAAGATCACAGTTCAAAGCCAGCCTAGGCAGAAAAGTCCATGAGACTCTTATCTCCAATTAACTACCAGAAAACCGGAAGTGCCACTGTGGCTCAAGTGGTAGAGTACTCACCTTGAGCTGAAGAGCGTAGGGACAGCGCCCAAGCCCAGAGTTCAAGCTCCATGATCGACTGAAAAAAAGGGTCTTTGTAGATATAATTAAGGATCTTGATACTTAAAAAAATAGGATCCTGGAGTGTACAGATGGGCTCTAAATCTAATACCAAGGGTTCTAGGAGAGACAGAAGAAGAGGAGACACAGACACACACAGAAAGCCCAGTGAAGATAAAGGCAGTAATGTGACCAAAAACCAAGGAAGTGAAACCATTGGAGGTTGTCAAAAGTAAAAGAAATTCTTCCTCAGATCCCTTGGAGAAAGTGTGACCTTACCAGACTCTGGACTTGCAGTCTCCAGAGCTGTGAGATAATACATTTCTGTTTTATACATAGCTCAGCTTCCCGCATTTGTTACAACAAGCATAGAAAACTACCGTCATCACCATATTATTTCTAGTGTCTAGAAACATGAAGGACCTCTTTTTTAATTATCACATTAAAAAAACTTTTTTGTGTGTGGTATTTGGTATCCAACTCAGGGCTTCACACGTTAACCAAGTTCCATACCACTAAGCCATCTTCCTAGCTCTATATCCCACATTTCCACTCAGGAAAAGGACCAAACTGACCTTCTCTCTGTGTGTGCCATGAAAGAACTCTTTCCAACTGATTCCTTACGGTACATGACACAATTCCCTCAATGCTGTGTCTGCTTGATAGTTTTTTACTTACTTTTTACAGTAAGGAAGTAGAATGAGAATGAGCTCAGCATATTTGTTTCTTCTCTCCTGCAGGCCTGAAGGGCAGCCAAGGCTGTGGATCTTGGAGGTTCCTAATCCAGAATCCTCCAGGTGTTTTTGACCCTTTTGCCCTTCAAGCCTTAGGTAGTCAAACTGCATCTGCTTATTACAAGACCCTGAGGCTTACCATCCCTTCTGTCTTATTTTTACCCTTCCCAAAACTACAAAAATACTCTCTTCAGGAAACACTTCCAACCACCCCCTTAGTGTGCTCTCTGCCTTCTGCCAGACCCTCGGCGGCACAGTAACTGAATAGCCATCTGACAACAGCAACCTAACACGCTGGATAATTACGCCCCATAAAAGTATGCTGAGTTTTCTAAACCCTGCAGTTTCCACAGATGGTGATAGATGTCAGTACCTTTTTCCTGTCCTAGCAACAAACATAAATAATTTTGCTCCTCTTAGATAGTGTCCCTAGAATCTAGCTAGACTCTATTTACTGAATGATTTTGGGTTTCGAATTACCTGTGGTCCTCATCAGTGATGCATTCAGGAAAGGCCAGGCTACAACCAAATAGCATGATGTGCTTATAACAACTGAGGCGATGGAGGTTTATGAAGAACTTGAGGAACTTCTCCACGTTCATGTTTGTGACAATTGAGAAGAGAGGGGTTAGAGTGGTGTGGTAGGGTAGCATCTGACACTGGCTGTGAGTGATGTTCACACAGGCACCTGGGAAGTGAAGACAATTCCATTTAGATTGTGGACCATCAGAAAGACATGCTGACCAAATCATTTGATAAGAGAGGGTCATGTGTTCATCAGATAAAGCTGATTCTACATTGTAGTAGGTAAGAATTACTATTGATTTATACAATTGGACAAATGCATACATATAGTGGATGTGATGATAAAAGTCAACCTACTTATATTTACAGAGGAAGAATAATTTTGTTGCCCAGAGGAAATTGATGGAAAACTACATAATCTCATACAGAGATCCTACAGCTGTAGGATACAGCTGGGAAGACAATATGGATCAAGTAAAAGTGTGTGTGTGTGTGTGTGTGTGTGTGTGTGT